CTTAAATTCATATATGAACTTAATAACAATAAAATTCATTTTTTTGATATATTGATAGATACCAACAATAATCCATTCACTACCTCCCCATATAAAACCTAACTTGCATAAACACGTCCACTCTCACCTATAAAAGTAAATGTCCTCACTATTACAAAATAGCTACTATACAAATTAGACAAGCTATTAGTAATATCAACATAAATCAAAAAGAACATAATACTTCATCAAATAACCCTAAACGTATCAATCTCCTATGCCGCAATCAAATAGACTCTAACTACAAACAAGATGAAAAAATAAGTACTAATATATCCCCCATTGATCCCAGTAAAAAAAATAAAACCAATTATATTCGAAACTAAATTTAATACAACGAACTTCATCATCCGCAATAATTCTTCTCCATCAACTAAGGTTTTGCAAAAGACCTTCATTGTATATCAATTTAAATATGATTTGGGAGATTATATCTATAGGAAAAAAGTAATGTATGTGTTGATTTCACGACAACAATGTTATCGAGGAGACTTCCACTATATATGTCCGATTCAAGTTCAATCGCACAACATTTAAAAGAACATTCTTGTCCACATTCAAAAAAAAATATTAATTTAGAATACAAATATGCTCAACCATGAAGGTAAAAAAAACTGCAAGGGGCCTTTTATATAAGAAAAATGCAACCAATAATAAATAAGTTTAGTTACGAGTAAAGCAACAATATTATAAAATGTCTATAATAGCAATGTTTTTTTTTAAATACTTAAATTGTAATTATAAAAAATTATAATTATATAAATTAAAGTTACCTCCATTAGATAAAACATGAAAAAACTTACTAGCATTAACAGATAATTTTTAAATTAATTATACCGGTGCACGTTAATTACGCGTTTAAAATAATTATAACAGAGGGCGTCTCATGCATATTTACAAAATAAAATTTATAACTATCAATGACATTAATTATCAATTCACCCCTAAAGATGATCTTGGATCAAATTGAAATTACTCGGGAAAATAAGAAATGGAGAAACCTACGGTGCCTTCCTTAATGAATTTAATATCAACATTAAGAATTTGATCGGAGAATTCGAGAGGATTAAATAAAAAATATGTCCAGATTATTCAATCAAACATACTTGAACACTCACACACACACACACACACACACACACACACACACACACACACACACATATATATATATATATATATATATATATATATATATGTAATTTATATATCATATATGAGCGGTATTAATTGGAAAGGGCTCAATATCAGTGATAGAGCAAACATATTCTGTTTGTCTGACGATCGCAAAGGGCGTGAAACCAAGGATCACAAACTCATATGAATCCAACTATATAAATATGTGTGTGTGTGTGTGATAAGAAAGAGTTTTAAGGTATACTATATTTATGAGTTAATTTAAAGTTTGTCAATATCTGGGATAAAGTGCATGTAGATATAAATTTGGACATTTAAGTCACCATCCAAAGGCGATGTCCACACACACACACACACACACACACACACACACACACACACACACACAGACAATCGCTTTGGTTCTGGTCAGTCTGCTATATGTCTAGAGATTGCTGATAAAATACAACGTAGAATTTGCAATGTTATTGATCCTGACTTGGCATCTCGGCTACATCCACTTTCCCACCACCCTAACGATGCTTTCCTGTACCTTTTCTATCAAAGATTTAGTGGTTATGAAATCAAGTGCAGTACTAGATTGGTAGTAAGGTCTCATCATTTTATAGTTGAGATTGTTAGATGTAACCGCAAGTTCTATGCTGACATTTTCTTTACTTGCTTGTGGAATTCTCTTCTGGCATTTTCCTTTCCAGTAAACTTTGATCTTCAAAAACTTCAATGCAATGTCAATCATTATGTTCTGTCTTCTTAATTCTTCTTCATTGTTCTCTCTCCTTAATAAGCTTCTTTTTCTCATATTCTCTCACTCACAGTAACCGCTTGCGTCATATTCCTTTTGTTGCCTTGCTTTTTGGGTACTCTGACTGAATGGTGTTTGTTTACATTCGTAAAAAAAATACGCTAGAATTAGCAGATTCTCTCTGTCGAGTGCTGATGGCTTAGGGGTAGAAACTCCGACTGATACCAAATCGGTCGGGTTTCGACTCTGGATTGAGGTTTTCAGACCTCTAGCCACACTGAGGAGTTTTGATCCAGCGAAACAGTACTGTCTGCGAATGACATAATAAAGCTATTGAAAATATATTTCAATTTTGCACTCTTGAGAGACAGCCTAATTCTACAAACAGCAGCCGCCTATGTTAAAAGGCTCTTTCGTAAATTGAATACGAGCACTCTGGCTGACTGGTGATTGTATACATTCGTAAAAAGATTACGCTAGAATTAGCAGTTTCTCTCTCCTGAGTGCTGATGTCTTGGGGCTAGAAACGCCGATTGACTCCGGATCGGTCAGGTTTCAACTCTGGCTTGAGGCTCTTGGACGTCTAGTTGCACTTAGTAGCTGTGATTCAGCGAAACAGTACTGTCTGCGAATTACACACACACAGATATATATATATATATACTACATTCATGTTGGTGCAAAATTAAATGATATATTAAATGATAATAAATATCACTCAACAAATAAATTGACAGAAGTTCAGTTCAGAGATCTCTCTGCCTTGGTTATATAGAAAATGTCAGATTTTAAACAGAAAACACTAAACTCTATGTTTTTAACAACAAAAAGAAAACGCGTTATTTTATTACAAAAGAAATTATGAAAACAAACCTTTTTTATGGCATTAGAGACCTTACTTACCCATCAAATTTTGTTTACGCAAAGAGATAGGCCTTTAAAATCAGCATTTTTCATGGACGCGAAAAGCAGAAATACATTCCGGCGTAAAAGATGCAACTGCTGCTGAGTCCCAGGAATCGTGAAAAAAAACAAAAAAACTGTAAAGGAATCAGTAATTGATAAAAAAAAAATGATTAAAACAATATGACTCATATCTTAGGATACAAGGTCATATATAGGGCCATCCACAGAGAGATTGTTTCGCTGTATCACAGCTCATCAATGTGGCTAAATGTCCGGTTGCCTCTAGCTAAGATCGAAACCCGACTGAATTTGCGTCAGTCGAGCATTCTACCACAAAGCCGTTGTCACACGGGAGGGATGAAGATGAGTTACTTATTTTTAGATAAACATACAGTGACTGAGAGAACTCGATTCAATTTACCGAAGAGTCATGCATTATTAGCCGTAATAGTCACTGTTTACAAACCCACACTTCCTCCCCAGAGACCTCACCCGAAATAATTTTTCAGGAGCATATATATTGTCATCCACAGACAGACTGTATCACAGCTCATCAGTGTGGCTAGACGGCCAGTTGCCTCTAGCTAGGATCGAAACCCGACTGAATTAGCGTCAGTCAGACATTCTATGTCCCGATCGTGGCTTGAAGCAATCGAACTTCTAGCCACACTAATGAGCAACGATTTTGTCAGTCTGTGATGATTATATATATATATATATTATATATATATATATATATATATATATATATATATATATATATATATATATATATATATATATATAGGGAGGTGTATGTATGTGCATCTATAATTTAAGTGAGGACAAGAGATTGATGCTAAATATTTTTCGGCTGGCATGTTGGAAATAAGCAGTATTAAATATTTGAAATTGAGTTCACTCAAATGACAAATATAAATGATCTAATAATACAATTTATTAAAAAATTCATTATTCATACGTTATAGTATTAAGAAAGAAAGAAAGAAAGAAAGAAAGAAAGAAAGAAAGAAAGAAAGAAAGAAAGAGGAAAACCGAAAAGTTAAGATGAATAAAAAATGAAAGAAAGAAAAAAAGGAAAGGGGAGAAAGAAAGAAAGAAAGAAAGAAAGAAAGAAAGAAAGAAAGAAAGAAAATGAGAGAAAGAGGAAAATCGAAAAGTTAAGAACGCGTGCAAAATGAAATGAAGAAACAAACAAAGAGAGAGAGAGAGAGAAATCAGCAGATAAATATGAAGAAAACAAGAAAAATGGCAGAAAGAAAGGAAGGGAGGAAGGAAAGAGGGAAGGAAGGACCTTGTAAAAAAGAAAGAAACCAGCCGGAAAGAAAGAAAGAAAGAAAGAAAGAAAGGAAATTATATATAGGCAAAAAGAAAGATGGATGGTAAAACCCAACATTAAAAAAGTAAACAGACAAAAAGAAAGACGAAAGCAAGCAAGAAAGAAAGACGGCAAAAAATAATTAAAGATAGATAAAAGAAAAAGAAAGCAACTAAAGGAAAAGATAGCATGTGGAGAGTAAGAATTGTACCAGAAGAAAGAAGAGAAAAGAAAGAGGGCAAAGGAAAGACTTAAAGAGAAAAAAAGAAAGAAAGTAAAGTGAAGGAAAGAAAAATAACTGCCAAAAGATAAAGAAAGAGAAAACTTATGCCTCACCACTACCACTGACCTTGTAGTTGCTACCTATTCTTTCGAAAATTTTTCTATTTTTTCCTTCCTACTCTGCACAGGTTGAGTGGTTGTATCGAAAGTCTCTTGCAGAATAAACAAATGATTGCACGATCAGAAAAATACAAGCAGACTTTCGATTTCTGAGACATAACTATGGCAGATGAATTTATTCAAAGAAGATCATCTTAAATTATTCATACAGGTCGATTCATAATCTGGGCGTAGTGTCCTCGTTATGGATGGCAGTCAACTGTAATAACCTCATGTTACTGGGCAATGCTCATGACCGTTGCTGGAAAGACATTAATGAAAGGGCGTCTTTATCAAATGCCAGAAATTTTAATTAAATTAATTTTAAATCATTTGATTCAAATGTGCAAAGAAATAGCCCTGGAGTGTGAAAATATTGGCTTCGTGCCAATGGGAAAGCAACAAGAACCCCACTACAGTAAAGTCTTGGAGATATTGACTAAATTTAGTTTGACGCAGGCTTACGATTCGTTCCAGATGTCATACACATTGTTTGTCAACATCGCCTTGTATACGAGGAATTTATCCGCACGCCTAACAGAATTCAATGCCATACAGCAGAGTCTAGGGCGTGCATGGACAAAGGCTAAAAACTGCTCAAGACTGCTTTGCTCTACCCATACTCCAGATAAGGTTCCTGGCCATTCTCTCTCTCTCTCTCTCTCTCTCTCTCTCTCTCTCTCTCTCTCTATCTATCTATCTATCTATCTATCTATCTCAAGAGAAGAGAGAGTACAATTGCCTGGACGCTCCCTTGAGGTTTTGTTTGTTTTGTTTTACGGCATATCGAACTCGGCGAGTTATTTAATGTCGACAAGTTATTTTTTTTGCTGGTAATAATTTTTCAAAAAAAAATATTGCTGGCAATGTTTTTTCTTTAAAAATATACTGCTAGTAATATTTTTCTTCAAAAATGTATTGCTGGTAATAACTTTTCTTCAAAATTTTATTGCTGGTAATAATTTTTTTTACAAAAATGTATTGCTGGTATAAAGCCTATTTTTACACTTTCATAATGTTTTGATCACAGTTTGGATGTTAACTATTTGCCCATAGCTGGGACCCTAACAGGTGCTACCACCCCGGGTCAGGGTGGACCTGGAAACACCAGAAATTAAAAAGTTGTTCCACGCTCCTCGAAACCTTCTGATCAGAGTCCTTGCTATTGGATGTAGAACGCGCTCCCTATGTGGAACTAATAAATACTAAACGTTTCAAATACTTCGGTGTATGGATCACTTATATTTTTTAATCGATATCACCCCATGTAAGGCCGTAAAGCCACCAAGGCACAAGGGGTTACAGGATGTGGAAGAATTAGGAACAGATACATTAATAATGAGCGGGAAGAAGAAAGAGTAATCAGGAGAACAATATATAGCGATTGAGATTGCATTTAAACTTTTGCAGATTATAGTTGGCTGGAAAACATGGAGACGAAAGAGAGTTCGACAAGCGAATAGACTGCAATTCTGTTTGCATAGAATTTACGGCTACACTTAGCCAGCTCTATTGTAAATTGATGAGAACTAAACGTCAGTCTCGTACTGCGTTTAAATTTTATTAAAAAGTCTAGGTACCATAGCGAAGAGCTCATCCGAACAATTCCCATGAAAGTATTTATAGAAAAGGCGAAGAGAAGCAACCTTACGGCGGTGGGAAAGTGACTTAAGCCGACCCGACAGCTTAGAGCCAGTAATATTTTTTTTTTTAGGTAAATAACAGGGGCACCGGACCGTATGTGGCAGCAATATACTAAGCATGGAGGAACGTTAGATCTATAGATATGCAAGATAGATTCTGAATAGAAAGATTGTCTCGTACGACACAGTAAACTGACTTTCGTAGCAGAAGACGAATTTATTAAAATAAATAAGGAAATAGAACATAGAATAGGCTGCGCTTGAGGGGAGTTTTACTTGTTATGGTCCGGTTCCTTGTATGACGGTGATAGTCCAAGGTAGAACCAATAAAGAAGAACTCGAACACGGCTATGGAATAACACAGATATATTACAAACAGGAATATATACAGGGAGGTAGAAAGTGTTAGTACGAACAATCAGGGTTAGTAGTAATTGTCTGAACGAGACTCTGTTTCGGTCTGCCTCTGACTCGACTGACTGACTCGGTCGCTTTTACTGACTGACAGACTCCTGCCGGACTTCACTCCAGACTTCGGACGGAACTCGCTGCTTCCTCTTGAGGCGCAGTATTTATTACGTATGGCATAGTCTATTATGTTATGATGGGTAAGGTCTCCTAACACCCCCCTTCCGAAAATTTTGCTTAGCAGGGTTTTTTTAATATCTTTTTTCTTTGGATCTATTTACAAATGTTTAGTAAATTTTCTTTTTCTAGACGATTTTCTTGGTTCTGGCATTATTTGCGGTCTTGTTATATCGAATGTGTCGAAAATCATGTCCAATACCTCTTCTTGAGGTGGACCGTTAGCATCCTGTAACGGTCTCTTCTTTATTTGGTTTACGTGTCTTCTGTGTGAGAATTTTTTTCCTTGAACTATGTACATCATATTGCCAATTCTTTTCTCAATTATCCCTTGTTCCCAGCAAGAGGTATTATTTTTGTATGCCTTAAAAAAACTTTTTCCCCTGGGAGGAATTTTCTTTTTGGTGTATAGGACTGTGTAACTTGTTTTGTTTTACTTGGTAGTAATTAATCGAACGCTGATCTGATTTTCCTAGCAAACATGATATCTGCTGGTGATAATGTTGATGATGTCGCATTATTTGGCGTTATTCTATATACCTGTAGGAATTGGTGTAATGCTTTCTCCGTAGGCACATCGTACGCTTTTCGTAATACTCTTTTGAGAGTATCCACGAATCTCTCCGCTTGTCCATGATCTTGGATGGTAAGGCGGGGATTTTATATGTTTTACTTGATACATTTCGCAAAACTCTTGGAAATCTGCTGACGTGAATTGCGTCCCGTTATCTGTTACTAAACAGTCCACTACGCCAAACCGAGCGAATAGCTCGTGGAGAAAATTTATGGTTGTTTCTGTAGTAGGATTTTTGCACCAAAACACCTCCGGCCATTTACTGTAGCTATCAAGTATGATTAAATAGTAGAACACGTCAATTGGTCCTGCATAATCTGCGTGTATTCTTGACCATGGACGATCAGTTTCAGGCCAAGGCTTATGTATGATTGGCGATGCTTTAGCTGCTAAATTACACCCCTTGCACATTTCCACCATTTGAGAAATATTCTGGCCCATATTCTTCCAATATACATAGCTTCGCATTAGCGACTTCATTCTATTTTTACCAGGGTGTCCTCTGCGGAAATCCTTTAGTATCCGTTTTTGTAAAGTTTGGGGGATTACAACCCTTTCGTTGTAAAGTAGCACATTATCGCATAGAGAAAAGCTGTCCGGAATTTTCTCATTTTTTTCTGCTATTTTTGCTTTTGTTTTATTAATAAATTCGTCATTTTTGCCTTCATTTTTATGTCTTGCAATGTGACTATGAGGTTTCTGACTGTACAACATAGTACTGTTTTTATGTCTTCTTCATTTCTAAGGGCTGCAATTACCATATCTTCCAATGGCTATGTCTTTGTTGGTATAAGTCTCGATAGACCATCCGCGTGCCCGATTCTTTTCGTTGGTAAATATTCCAATCTGAAATTATAGTTCAGAAGAATCGTTCCCCATCTAAGTAGTCTATTTGCCGTGTACACCGGTAGACCTTTTTTGGAACCAAAAATTTTTATTAACGGTTTGTGATCCGTCTGCAGAGTAAAGTGTCTACCATAGACGTATCTATGGAATCTTGTTACTGCGAAGATAATTGCTAGAGCTTCCTTCTCAATTTGTAAATAGATTTTCTCCGCTGGTAGTAGGGTTCGAGAAGCATGTGCGATAGATTTTATTGTCCCATCTGGCATTTTATGTAATATACACGCCCCGACACCGTAGGCGCTCGCATCACTTGCTACAATAATCTCTAGTTTAGGACCATAGTGTGCCAAAAATAAATCCGATGTTAATGTCTTGATTATTTTTTCAAAGGTTTCCTGGCATTGAGCTGTCCACTGGTGCGCGAAGTTTATGCATTTGAGGTATGAATTCCTGGTAGTAATTCACTAATCCAAGAAAACTTTGTAGTTCTGTTATGTTCTTAGGAACTGGCATCTTTTTTTTATTGCTGTAGACCTTTCAGGGTCTGGACATCTATCTTCTTGGTCTATTATATAGCCAAGATATTTAATTTCCTTCATGAAAAAATCACACTTATTTTCTTTCACTTTGAATCCGTAGCTTTGAATTCTCTTAAATACTTCTTGTACATGTTGCCAGTGTTGTTCAACGCTTTCGCTATTAATCAATATGTCATCCAGATATGCTATTGTGTATTCTAGTCCTGCCAGCATCGTATCCATTGTCTGCTGGAAAATAGCCGGCGCTATTTTAATTCCAAATGATAGTCTTTGGTATCTGTACAATCCCTTGTGTATGTTTATGCATAGTAGTTTTGAATTTTCTTCATCGACTGGAATTTGCAAATAGGCCTCACTTAGGTCAATTTTTGAAAAATATTTTCCACCATTTAATTTAGTGAATACTTCTTCAGGACTAGGTAGCGGATAGTGGTAGTCCTTTATTGCTGCGTTCAAACCTGTAGAAAAATCAGCACAAACTCGAATTTCTCCTGATTTCTTCTTAACGTAGACCGTTGGTGCGGCCCATTTGCTGTACTCTACTTTTTTTAATATGCCCGTATTTCTGAGTCTAGATAATTCTTGGTCAATCTTTTCTATTGACGCAAATAGTACACTCCTTTTTTTCTTGAAAATAGGTTAAACGTTATCCATTATTTTGATATTAGCTGCCATTTTCTTGCATCTTCCGAGACCTGCCGAAAATACTTCGGGGAAAATCGTTTTTAGTTTTCCTTTTAATGTGTCTTCCTCGGTTGATAAGCTTTTTACGTTCTGGCAGTAGGTGCTAATAGTTAGATCCAACAATTCGAATTTTTGCATCCAGTCTGTCCCGAATAGGTTTTCGATATTTCTTAAGACGTACATTTTTGGTTTTTTCGTCATTCCGTTAAATGTTACGTTTGTGATTATTTCACCCTCGAATTTTATCTTTCTCCCCGTAACTGATCTCGCAGTTTTATCCGTTTTTAACATGACAGGTCTATTCAGTTTTCTCCATGTTTGAAGATTTATGATAGTTAAGTCTGAGCCAGAATCCAGCTGTAACCTAACTTTTCTGTTTGCATTTCAACTTGTACATATTTTCTTATATTAGTCTCATATTTTTGGTCGGTCTTCGTAATTCTTATTCTGCTTTCCTTTCTATACCAACAGTGAGAACTTTTGTGACCAATTTTTTTACATGATAGACAAGTTTTAGCACGATATGTACAGTCTTTAACCCAATGCCAAGACCCACAACGATAGCATGGACTTGGTGGTAGTTTCTTTTTATGCCGATTATAATTAGAAAATTTTGTTTTACCTGTTCTTGAGGCGGGAAAATCAGTTCGGTTTGTTTGTGAGAAGGGAAAATTTGTTTGCTTTGTTTGTGAGGAGGGAAAATTTGTTTGTCTTCGTACTTTGCCTATGTATGCTATGCCAGCTTGTTCTATGTCTTTAGAGGTTTTTTTTTACGCTGACGCATCTCTGGCAGTCTTCGGCTAGTTTTTGAAGTGTCAGATCTTGTTCATTTTCCAATTTAGTAAGTATTCTACGTCTCAGTTCTGCGTCTTTGGTTGAAACCAGACCTTGGA